CCCAGTGAGGACACTTTCTTTAAAAATAATCCCATTTAGGATTGATTACTCTTCTGTATAAAAAGGGATTTTATGCCAAATCACTTAAAAACTGTTTGACATTCAGTTATTCAAATGCCATTTGGTATCACCAAGAAAGAAAAGAATTCATTATGAAATGGGTAAACATATTTGTGGGTAACTTTGAAAGAAAGAAATGAATTAATTTCTAAGCAATCCACCTATTTAATAGCAAGCCCATTGAAACATGCATACTCTTTCAGGAATAAATACAGTTCATTGGTTGGAACTGTACATCTTATCCATTCTCTTGACATAAATACAGGCAGTTACAAACAAGATAGTGTAACTCCAACCATATAAGCACTTTGGATAGCATAGGGAATGTTTATGTTTATGTCGAAGGCTTTCATGGCCGGAATCACTGGGTTGTTGTAGGTTTTTTCTTGCTAAATGCCTCTAGAACATGGCCATACAGCCCGAAAAAAACCTACAAAAACCCAATGTTTATGTCTGTTTTTCTGTCTGTGTCCCCATTCAGAAGGTTTCACCTCACTTTCTGTCCCTGTGAGAACTGAAAAATTAGGCTTGTTGTGGAAACAAGGATTGGTGATAAAGCTTCAGTGGCAACACCTTTTCCCTATGAAAACTCTTCCAAGAGTGAATTTCTCTTTCGAGGGTAGATTTTTCTCACCTCCTGTTGTCTTAGGGCCCTTCCAGACAGGCCCCATGTTTCAGGTTTTCTGTTTATCCCAGATTAACTGTCAATGTGGACTCATATAATCCAGTTTAAAGCAGAAAACCTGGGATTAGATCCTGGGATATAGGGCCTGTCTGGAAGGACCCTCACTCCCATTCTTAACTGTGAGTTGTTTGTAAGTTGGATGTTTGTAACTCAGAGGCTGCCTGTATAAATAGCAAGATGAAGTGCTATACATGAGCCATCTGTTCTTTGCAACAGAATTTCACCCTGATTTTTTATGATTTTGAGGAAATGTCTTACTGGATCCCACATGGGTTATAAATATGCTTAAAGTGTGGTGAGCATTGTAGCAAAATGTCACACACAAACTGTGCAGATTTGCATATACATATACTGAAGCTCTTCTGTGTATAAATTGGTGCATGCAACATACTGTAACAAGCATTTTCACCTCTCCCTGTACTTCATCACACTAGAGAATGAATCCACTTTAAATTGGGTTTCTGCCTCCTGCAGAATTCTGGGGTTTGTAGTTTAGTGAGGCTGTTAAAGGCTCCTCCCTAAACTACAAATCTCAGAATTCTGCAGAAGGCAACAACCAGATTTAAAGTGGATTCATTTTCTAGTGTGATGAGGTCCCCTGTTAGTTTAGAAAAGGCCAAATCGATGTGCAGAAAGCATGAATGGGTCAATATTGCTTTAACCCTTGCTACAGGTGAACATTTTGCAGCTCTGGCAACCCTCCCACTGCACACACACAGTCTATAAAGGAATGCACCAAAAGATAACAATCCTAGTGGCTCAGTCCTTTGGCTCCTTCCTCCCCCTGAAAGTGTTAAAAGGAAAATACAATGTCAACGCCAACTCCTCCCTGCTGATGGACTGGCAGTGAGTGCATTTTACTTTCTGGCTAGAAGCCCTCATAAAACCGTTACAACCAAAAAAAAAAGCTATCAAGAAAGGGAAGAAGAGATAATGCATTCTGTCAAACTATTCCAAGGCTTCCGTTGGAACAAATCGGGCTATTTTCTTCCTCGGCCACTTGTCTTTCAAACATTACTCGGTTAACCTTCCAGAGGGACAAGAAAGGGCAGTCCTTTCCCCCCACAAAATCCAAAACACAACAGACATATCAGCATTCCCTTTCTTAGGCAGTTGAATAGCTCCCTATATTGCGTACCGAGTCAAAAGGGGAAAAAACAGATAGGAAAAGGAAACACGTCAAATCGTATTGGAAACGTGTGTGGCATCTGGATACATATGTACGGAGAGACAGCAACAAATGAAAAGCCCCTGAAATAACATATAAAATGCCACCACGTATCTAGAGGCCATGATTTTGCCTTTTTGGATTTTTTTTATTATTATGGAAGGAGGCAGTGGGTTTGAGAGAAGAATCCTAGGAAAATGGCACAACGCCCTTTGTAAAGTAAAGAACTTCCTCAAGCATCGAAATGGAGAAAATGCACCATTTTCATTTAAAGACAGAGAATAAGATGTCAGCCATTTAAAAGAGAGAGAGAGAGAGAGCTACCCTAGAAACCTTAATGACTCTTTTCCTGAGGTTTTTCCGCCCATCAAAGCCACAAAATAAGCACAGATTATTTCTCTCAAACTTGATTAGGCAGGAAACCTCAGGCGCAGGCCTTGTGAGGGTGGCCCTGAACCTCTCCAAGGAACAAGCAGGGCGGTGTGTGTTTTTTGTTTGCCTTCTTTTCTTTCAGGAAGACTGTCTTTTCTTGGCAGGATGAGAGCCCTTCTAAGCCCAGCCCTAAAGATTTTTCCATCCTCTGTAATAAAGCGTGCAAGGAAGGAAGGAAGGCTCAACGGCTCTCCTGCCAAAAGGGTGGATGGGAGAAAAGCCCCCTTCTGCTGCTGCTTCTCCTCCTCCTCTCTCTCTCTCTCAGCCCTGTGTCAGGAAGACTAGGCAAAGCAGAAAGGGAGGAGGAAAAGGAGGAGGAGATGGGGTTTATCATCAGCTGAACACAACCTCCTACATTTCTCCACAGCCAGCTCAGGCGGCATAGAGAGGAGAGGAGAAGACAACAGGCGCCATCAGGAATCAATGTGCCCTCCCCGCCCAGGCCCCTCCGCCTGGCAAAGGACAGCATCCATAGGACCGCTGCCCTCACCAACTACAACCCAAAAAACACCAGGAGGAATCATATGCACCCTTTTGCTTTCCATACAAACACACACACATCGATACACCATTTTCTTGAGAGCTCCAAGGAGAAACAGGGAGGTGAAGAGGAGGAGATGTTTCAGCCAGGAATTCTTACACATAATATTTTGCAGGTTGTGTGCTACCATGTTCTGTGGGTTGCATGTCTCTCTCACACAGTATGTGGTGGGTTGTGTGTGTATCTCTCTCACACATACACACTCCATTTCTTCGTTGTGCAACTCTTTCTCACACACACACTGTATTTCTTTGGTTGCGTCTGTCTCACACACCATACTGCTCCTCTCTCACCTATACTATGTTCTGTGGGTTGTGCCTCTCTCACACAACATATTGTGTAGGCTGTGTCTCTCAGTTTGTAGGTTGTGCATCACTCTTACACATTTTCTCTTTGGTTGTCTCTCTCTCATACACACACTGTATGTTTTGAGTTGTGTGTCACACACATATGCCATATTACTTTAGTTGCGATTCTCAACACACACCATATTTCTTAGGTTGTGTGTTACACATATGTTGTATTTCTTGGGCTGTGTATCTCACACATCATATTCCTTTGACTATGTGACTCATACACAACATATTCCTTTAGTTGTGATCCTCACAAACACCATTATTTCACACATACACTGTCTTTGTAGGGTTGTGTGTCTCACGCATCCTATTTCTTGAGTTGTATGTGTGTCTCTCTTACACTGTATTTCTTGAATTATGTGTCACATACATACACCATATTTTTTTAGTTGTGGTTCTCAACACACACCATATTTCTTGGGTTGTGTGTTCCACATATGTTGTGTTTCTTGGGCTGTGTGTCTCACACATTCTTTTGGCTATGTGAGTCACACAATATATTCCTTTAGTAGTGATGCTCACAAACACCATTGTTTCACACATACGCTATCTTTCTTTGGGCTGTCTCTCTCTCACACACGCACAGTTTGTAGGTTGTCTTTCCCACATCCCATTTCTTTGCTTCTCTCTCTCTCATATACACACTGTTTTCCTTGGGTTGTGTCACACGCATACACCATATTCCTTAGGTTATGTGTCTCACACACCATATTCCTTTAGTTGTGGTCCTCAGAAGCACCATATTTCTCGTGCTGTGTGTCTCATATATCCTATTTCTTGGGTTGTGTGTGTGCGTTTCTTGTGCTGTGTGTTACACATACACTATTTCTTGTGCTGTTTATTACGCATATACTATATTTCTTGGGTTGTGTGCCTCACACACCATATTCCTTTAGTTGTGGTCCTCAAAAACACCATATTTCTTGTACTGTGTGTCTCATATATCCTATTTCTTGGGTTGTGTGTGTGTGTTTCTTGTGCTGTGTGTTACACATACACTATTGCTTGTGCTGTTTGTTATGCATATACTATATTTCTTGGGCTGTGTGTCTCACACATCCTACTTCTTGGCCCGTGTGTGTGTGTTTCTTGTGCTGTGTGTGTGTCTCTTGTGCTGTGTGTTACACATACACTATTTCTTGTGCTGTTTGTTACGCATATACTATATTTCTTGGGCTGTGTGTCTCACACATCCTATTTCTTGGCCTGTGTGTGTTTCTCTCTCATTCACACCACATATTTTCAGTTATGTGTCCCTCACTCACCATCATTCTCTCCCATACCTATTTCTTGGGGTGGTTTTGGGGCTGGTGTGCATTTCTCTCTCCCACATCCCATTTATTGAGATGCGTTGCCTCTTCAAGTGGGTTGCGTTTGTGTCTCTTTTACACGAGGTGCCTTTGGCTGTGCTTCTCTTACACACACACCAACACCAACCCACTGGGCATCTTTTGCAGGACCCATCTCCGGCCAAAGGGGAAGGAGGGCGCGAGCTTATATCCGCACACTCACTCACTCACTCACTCACTCACACTGCGGTCCACCTTTAAGGGGCGCTTTCCTTCCTTCCTCAACCCAACCCAACCCAACCCACTGCGCTCCCCGCGCCCTTCCCGACCCTTTGCCTCCCCTCCGGCCAGGGATGAGGCAGGGAGGCACCCAAAGAGGCAGAAGAGGAGGAGGAGGAGGAGGATGCTCTCCTTCCTCTTCCTCCTCCTCCTCCTCCTTCCTCCAGGCGCAGGAGAGAGACAGCCTTACCTTCGGAGAGCTCCAGCTCCAGCTCGGCCAGCCGGGCTCGCACCTCCAGCGGCAAGGAGAGGCCTTCCAGGCTGCGGTCCGCCATGGTCCCCGGTCCAGAGGCTCCCGCTGCCTTGCCTTGCCTTCCTCCTCCTCCTCTTTTTCCTTCCCACAGCTTCCCTTCCTTCTCTTTGTTCGCAACACACGCCTCGCCAAAGGCGCAGCAGCAGCAGGAGGAGGATCAGAATGAAGAAGGAGGAGAAGGAGGAGAGGGGCCCGGGCTGTGTCTTCTTCTCCTTCTCCTCTCCCTCCCTTCAATGCAAAGCCAAAGGCCCCTCTCCCAGCCCTCCCCTCCCTCCTTCCCTCGGATGCCCCGAGTCCTCTCTTCCTTCCCACAAGGAGAGGCAAAGCCGAGGAAGTCCACGCAGCGCAGCGATGGGGCGGAGAGTCAAGGCAAGGCAGGGAAGCAAGGAAGGCACCGAGAGACCTGCCTCCTCCTTTGCCTCTGCCTCCTCCTCCTGCTGTTTTCAATGGAGCCCCGCCATAGTGGTGCGGAGAACGTGCTCTCTGTCCTCCTTTCCCTTCCTTCCTTCCAAAGGGCAATCCTGGCCAAATCCCTTTTTCGCGTGGCCCGATGCAGAAAAGGACGGGGTGGAGGGGTGGGTGGAGGAACACCCTCGGCTCGCTCCTCGGCTTGGCTCTCCCCTTTTTTTCCCTTCTCTCTCTCTGGCACCCACCCGCGCGCGCAGCTCACTCGCCCCCGGTTGCTGAGGAGGAGGAGGAGGAGGAGGATGAGTCTTCTCCTCCTTCTCGATGCGGCGGAGGCCCGGGAAACTGCAGCGCTCTCGCTTCTGCTGCCTCCTCTGCTGCTGCTGCTGCTGCTGCTGATTCTGCTGCTGATTCTGTCACCCGCGCGCACGTGACGCGCGCCTGGGCGCAGCTGCCCTCCCGAGGGCACGCGCCTCCGGGAGGGAGGGAGGGAAAGAGGGAGGGAGGGAGTGGCGCGCGCACGCCGGGCGCGCCCCCGCGCACTTCCCCAGGAGGTGGGGGGGGGGGATCTTTTCCCTCTTCTCTCTTTCAGCCAAGAGAGGAGAGGAAGGGGCCCAACTTTGGGCATGTGGGGAGAGGAGAGGAAAGGAGAGGAGAGGAGGGGTCTGTGTTTGGGATGAGACGCGGATCATTAGGCAGCCATGGGAAATCATGAGCTTTGTATTTCCTCCTCCCTCCCTCCTGTTTATTATTTCCTTCTTCCAATTTCCATCTTCCCTCCAGTTTATTTCCTTCTTCCAATTTTATTTCCTTCCCTCCAGTTTACTATTTCTTTCCCTCTTCCCTCCAATTTTATTACTTCCTTCTCCCTTCTTCCAATTTTATTTCCTTCCCTCCAGTTTGTATTATTTCCTTCCTTCTTCCAATTTTATTTCCTTCCCTCCAGTTTATTATTTCCTTTCCTCTTCCCTCCAGTTTTATTATTTCCTTCTCCCTTCTAATTTTATTTCCTTTCCTCTTCCCTCCAGCTTTATTATTTCCCTTTCCCTTCTAATTTTATTTCCTTTCCTCTTTCCTCCAGTTTTATTATTTCCTTCCCTCTTTCCTCCAGTTTATTTCCTTCTTCCAATTTTATTTCCTTCCACTTTATTATTTCCTTCCCTCTTCCCTCCAGTTTTATTATTTCCTTCTCCCTTCTAATTTTATTTCCTTCCCTCTTCCATCCAGTTTATTATTTCCTTCCCTCTTCCCTCCAGTTTATTTCCTTCTTCCAATTTTATTTCCTTCCCTCCAGTTTATTATTTCCTTTTTCCTTCTTCTAATTTTATTTCATTTCCTCCAGTTTTATTATTTCCTTCTCCCTTCATCCAATTTTATTTCCTTCCTTCTTCCCCCAGTTGTATTATTTCCTTCTCCCTTCTTCTAATTTTATTTCCTTCCCTTTTCCCTCCAGTTTTATTATTTTCTTCTCCCAATATTATTTCCTTCCTCTCCCTCCATTTTCCTCCTCCCTCCTAGCTCATTTTCACTTCCTCCAGTTTTATTCCCTTCTCTCTTCCCGCCAGTTTCATTTCCTTGTCCCTTCCTTCCATTTTTCCTTCCCTCTTCCCTCCAGTTTATTATTTTCTTCCCCCTTCTTCCTTCCAGTATTACTTCCTTCCTCTCCCTCCAGTTTTGTTTCCTCCTCCCTCCTTCCAATCTTCGTTCCTTCTCGCTTCCTCCAGTTTTGTTTCTTTCCACTCAATTTTATTTCCTTTTCTATCCCTCCATTTTATTATTCCCTTCTCCATCCAGTTTTCCACCTCCTCCCTTCCCATTCAGTTCCCTTCTTCCTTCCTTCCATTTTATTATTTCCTTCCCACTCCCTCCAGTTATTTTATTGTTTTTCCTTCTCCCCTCGATTTATTATTTCATTCTCCCATCCTCCAATCTTATTTCCTTTCTCCCTGTCTCCAATTTATGATTTCCTTCACAATCCCAGTTTTATTTCCTTCCCCTCCCTCCAGTTTTATTCCCTTTCCTCCAGTTATGTGTTATGACTTAATTTTGTTGCAAGTTGCCCCGAGCCTTTTTGGAGAGGGGGTGGGAAATAAATTGTTAGTATTATTATTAATTTATTTTCCTTCTTTCTCCCCCCAGTTTATTATTTCCTGCACCCCCTTCCAATTTTATTTCCATCTTCCTTATTTCCTTCTTCCTTCCTCCAGTCTATTTCCTTCCCTCTCCTTACAGTTTATTTCCTTATCCTTCCTGCAGTGCATCATTTCCTTTCCTCTCTCTCCAGTTTATTATTTCCTTCTCCTGTCCAGTTTTTATTTCCTTCCTCTTTCTACAGCAGTATATTATATTTTGTGTTTTCTGCAAAGAGTGCTGGAGCCTCACCATGAGCCACGGCAGTGAAAGTGGTGTTAATTCCTCCTCAGAGTAGTTCTTACCCAAGAAAGCCCTGTGAAATTCATGGGGTTGCTATATGTCAACAGGAAACTTGGAGACACATAAATAGACACTTTTGATCCTTGGTGGACAATTAAGAACCATTAGCTTTACAACAGACCAGTTCCATGCACAAGTGAAAACTGCTACAACTGGTTTGGTGATACACATTTTGGGATTTTCCTTGCGCACCTCCTTAGGAGGAGCATGTGCAGTGCAACATTTGCCTAAATATCATTACTAAGAAGAGCATGAGTGACAATAAAGCATCAGGGATATTTTAATTCAATTTTAATAGGAAAAAAAACCAGAAAGAGAAAAAACAATACATATACATACATACACACACACACACATAAACATACTTGAACAACAACTACATAACTAACTAGACAAGGTTTGTCTCTGGGCTCTGAAATTAGGTCAATCTGGTTGCTCAAAAAGGAAGGGATGTATATTTTGACTGTTTACAAACATTTACAAATATTTATATATGGCTTGTATCTAAATGTTTCAGAGCTGTATACATTAGACCTCAATCCTGTTGGAAATTTCAACTTTTTTTATATCAGGGCCGACTTGAGAAACTGCAAGTTGCTTCTGGTGTGAGAGAATTGGCCATCTGCAAGGATGTTGCCCAGGGGACGCCGGGATGTTTTACCATCCTGTGGGAGGTTTCGCTCATGTCTCTGCATGAGAAGCTGGAGCTGACAGATGGGAGCTCACCCCGCTCCCTGGATTCGAACCGTCAGCACAAGGATTCGAACCGTCATTGCACCACTGGGGGCTACATTAATTTGAACTGAACTAAATGTAATCAACTGCTGCATGGCGAGTCAACACCATAATGTAGATTGAGTCAAGCAAGGACTACCAATACAATGCAGGCCTATACAGATTGTTCATAGCATAGATGTACAAGGGTTGAATGAAAAGTAATGCCTCCACCTTTGTTACTTAGGTTTGGATGGGAATATTTTAATAAATCAAACGCAGAAATAATCCTTATGTGCTTTTTAACTACCACTGTTCACTTTTCCACATAATCACCAGACAATTGGATATATTTCTGCCAACAATGAACAAGTTTTCTGAATCTGTCACAGAAGAAGTCGACACTGTTTCTGGAAAAAGCATCTCACAGTTCTCTCAACGTCTTCATCAAAAGCATAATGATGTCTCCGCAGATCTTCTTTCATTATCAGGAACAGATGGAAGTTAGACGGTGCTAAATCTGGACTGTATGGAGGATGTCGTACGGTGGTGAGAAGTTTCTGAAACTCTCGTACGGTGGTGAGAAGTTTCTGAAACTCTAAAGTTTCAAGTCTGTGCGCTTTCATTTCAGGTGTCAGCATCCTGGGTACCCATCATACACAGATCTTCCGATAGCCAAGTAAAGCAATAATATGACCCACACGTTCTTGTGAAATGCCAGTTATGCTTGAAATTTCTCCCTGAGTGATACAACGATCAGCCTGAATCAATCTGTCAACCTTTTGCTTGTGAAACTCAGTGGTTGCTTTCACAGGACGTCTAACTCTTTGTTTGTCACACAAGTCAAATGTTCCCACCTCAACATCTTTAAACTTTCTCTCCCAACAATGCACAGTACTCACATCAACACAATCACCATAAACAGCTTGCATTCTCTGATGAATCTCCTTTGGGGTGATACCTTCTGCTGTCAAGAATTCAATGACTGCTTAAATCGCATTAACCAACCATCTGTGCAGGGTTCCATACTTCGCACTTTAACAACACAACCGTTCAATGCTAAGGCTTCCTGCCAAAATGGAACTGTAGAGGAGAGTCTACGGAACAAGCCAGTACCTGCCACATATTAGTACTGCCATCTGTTAAGGAGTTACAAAGGTGGAGGCATTCCTTTCATTCAACCCTCGTACAATACGGTCATCAACCATGTGAGGAAAGTATTTTGCTAGCCGAGAATGCATCTACAACAGGCATGGGCAAACTTCGGCCCTCTAGATGTTTTGGACTTCAATTCCCACAATTCCTAACAGCCTACTGTTAGGAATTGTGGGAGTTGAAGTCCAAAACACCTGAAGGGCTGAAGTATGCCCATTAATGATCTACAATGTAGAATGGTTAGACACCATTTTAATTGTTATGGCTCAATGCTATGGAATCCTGGGATTTGTTGTTTGGCAAGGCATCAGCTCTCTTTGGCAAGAAAGGCTTAAGATCTCTTGCATCTACAACTCCCATGATTGTATAGCATTGAGCCATGTCAAGTTAAAGTGATGTCTAACTGCATGAATTCTACAGTGTAAATGCACCTTTAGTGGGATTTCCATAAGTGTTTACACATCATGCAACGGTTGATTTAATGGCTTTACTCTGTTGAGACTATAAACAAGATTCAGACCTGCATGTTTGTCATAATTGTTTTGCGTGGCTCAGAAATAACAAGATCCAAACAATGTATAAATATTTGTCCACAAATAGCTATTTCAAATTAAGGAACATTCATGTCCTGCTGGCAGTATTCCCCCAAGCGTGAGGTTGGCTACTGTACAAACAGAATACTGGTCTAGGCAGATCTTTCCTCTGATCTAGCAGGGCTCTTCTTATGCTATTTATTACCATAAATATAGTATAATGCTAACTATCTATGGGCATGGATGCTGTTGCTTTTCATTTAATGTCATTTAAAAAGAATGACATTATAAGGAGGCAAGTATGCCTGGAGGAGCAAGACAAGGATGAGTTCCGTATTGTTAAATACATTAGGAAATGTATATATTTGCTTATGTAAAAGCATATAGCCCTCCACTTCCAGTGTCTACACTCCACTCAGTATAGGCAGCTACAAATTAAAACTAATATTACACTAAAACATAATTAAATGTCACAAGGTGCAATAAAATTACTGAGGGACAATAAAGACTATACCCATAATCTTGCTGGTGCACTACACTTTTGGATGCTTTTTCTGCATCTATGCTGCAACTTACTAATGCCTTGAAAGATCTCTCCAGCTACTACAAAGATAATCACCTGAAGCCTA